CGCGATAACTTGAGAAATACTTTACATATGAACTTCAAATTTGGTTTGTGTATTGTTCTTGGTAATCCTAAGAACCCTTTTGCATTTGGGGCCGAAAGGTCAAGGGTCAAAGTCACAGTGACTTAAACAAAAGAAATTTTGTCAGCGCGATAACTTGAGAAATACTTTACATATGAACTTCAAATTTGGTTTGTGTATTGTTCTTGGTAATCCTAAAAAAGCCTATTGCATCCGGGGCTGAAAGGTCAAGGGTCAAGGTCACAGTGGCTGAAACAATAGAAATTTTGTCAGCGCTATAACTTGAGAAATACTTTACATATGAACTTCAAATTTGGTTTGTGGATTGTCCTTGGCAATCCTAAGAAGCCTATTGCATTTGGGGCCAAAAGGTCAAGGGTCAAGGTCATAGTGGCTAAAACAAAAGAAATTTTGTCAGCGCGATAACTTGAGAAATTCTTCACATGTGAACTTCAAATTTGGTTTGTGGATCGTTCTTGGTAATCCAAATAGGCCTATCGCATTGGGGGTCGAAAGGTCAAGGGTCAAGGTCACAGTGGCTTAAACAATAACAATCTTGTATTTATTCTGAGATCATATGGAAAAGGGATTAATTCATATAAAACCTACAGAAGACACTAATGCTGTCAATGAACGTTCCATGTGACCAAGGTACGGTACGTGTAAGTTGATGTTAAAAGAGTGGTGTTATGTAATGGGAACAGTCACGGTTGCGGGGCATTTGTGTTTGTAAACACACCTGACTTGTTTTGTTCTTTATAAAGTTTGTTATGTACTCAAAGTTGAGAACCATGTTCCATGTTCGTATTTTTTTCACAACTTTTATTTTGGAATGGGATTCAGGCCACTTGTAGTCCGAGCCTCAAGGTACAAAAAAGGTGGGGGCACTGCTAGGGTGAAATAATAGCATAGAGGAAATTTGGCCGGAGGACTAATGCGAGCGCGGAGCGCGAAGCCCTTACGGAGAGGGTTCCGGGGCCCGCTTAAGGGCCCCGGGAAATTTTGGATCGCAGATGCTCTGTGGTGCAGTCTGAGACGTTTCCTGGCCACTTTCCCCTGATTTTTTTTAGCAGAAGTTTTAAAATTATGAGGGGATATTTTTGTTTCATTTGTTTCAAATGCATATAGGCCTATACACTCTTGCTCCTATGAAGTTTCTTCTGTATTCAAAGCCTAAAGTTGAGAACGTGCACATAATTTGTAATTGTTCCGCGCTCGGTTACATAACTGACATGAATTTAAATATTTCATTATAGCGGGTGCATATTTGGGGAGTGTGTCAAACTGGCATGAAACGTATCAGAAAAATATTTTAATAGAATCTGAAGTGGCCATTGTTTGATTTTGTTTAGTCACCAAGCCCAGAGCGTGAAAACGGTTTGACTTCATACGTATTGTACGCGGCAGTTGTCCGCGAGTCTCATGGACGTATGAGGCGCTAAAAAATACGTGAAATAAGACTCCACTACAGTTTGTTTTACCTTGGTTTTATCCGCGTACCGTGCGGCCATCATAACCCGCGCATAAAGTCTTAAGGTCGGTTTTCACGGGGCACGCGAACGATTTGCGAAGGATGCAAATGTCGAAAAAATGGCAAAGTCCAACATTCAGAGAAGTTTTTCTCTGAATGTCTCCCAACAATGGAGTCGTAAACCATTCTTGCGCAGTTTGTGCGAAGTTCTCACAACGTATGTGCGAATGTCGTGTGTACCGTGACTGAACTACGGCCAGTCCACATACACAAAGAACACGCGACTTAAATGCGAACAACGCGAACGTTCTTCTGATTGCTCCTCCTGGGAACATTGGGCCTCTTGCACACCTTCCATCTCCCCTGGCAGGGGGTTTGTCTTCCTCTTCTTGGTCAATCCGACACCTCGGCCACGACTCTTTCCTCCCTTGGGCGGCATGTTGCTGTCTTGAGTTGAAGTCAAATGAAGTAAATAAACCACCCACTGTTTAACCTATGAGGCTATAGTATGGGCCTACATAGCCTGCTTGCCTACAATACAGAATTCACACAGAGTAGCAAATGCGCGAAATAGTCGTGCGCTTTATATAGGTCAAACGTGGTGTGGATTTGCCGCCAAACGTGCACCAAACGTTCGTGAGAATATCTCAAGAAGTACGCAAAAAGTTTGCGGAAAGGTCGATAAATAATCGGGCGAACTTCGCTTCCAAGCGCGAGACATTCTCCAAATTGTCGGGGTCTGTTTGAAGTCACCGCCATACACCTGCTTGAAGCCGACTTGATCCAAATTAATGTGTAGGACCTTGCTTGGCATTACTGATCTTGAAGGATTGCTTGGACTTGCAATGGGCTGTTGCTACTGCCTTGAAATCGCAACACGTCTATTCTGTACCGTACACATGTACGTTTAATGTTTGGCTAGAATGGCAACTTAATCAGCAGGAAGAAGTCGTATTCTGTTTCCTGATGTCCTGCTCGATCCTCCCGAATGCCTGATCCGCTGGCGGAAAACTGTGGCTGCGGACAGGAAATGTGTGCTCGATGCTTAGCTGTGGAAAGTTCTGTTTTCACATAGCAGCCAGCATTGCCAAAACCATTGATGTTCTTGTTTTGGTCAAAGCAGGAGTTTTAAAACAAGCGCAACCTTTGATACCTTTTCAGTTCATCTCCCACAACAGAAATGAAAAAGTGGTTTAAGGCCGAAGCCACCATGTTGCTGTCCTTGCAGTTCTGACTTGTAGCCAGATGTACAGATGAATGTCACCTTTTCCCTGTGGATTTCCTCGGCCGCAGTGATGAACGACACCAAAAACATAGAGGTAGAGCTGCCGCGAATAGGTTTGTCCGATTGGGGACTTTGGCAGTACATGTACTAGATTCTCCATAGTGTCAAAACAAGTGGTGAATGAATCCTCAACGTCACCTCATTTTTTCATCTATAACACATCCCGGTCTACCCACATACGGTACCAAGTTTCGACCCGATCGGACTTACTGTTCTGTAGATATAGGACTTCAAAATATGCACGTTTGTCACGTGAACCCTGATGACGTAATCATGATGTCACTCTTCGGAAAACAACTTTGCCATAAGGACATGCATATGCTTAATTTGAATGATGTATGGCGAAGTTCAATGCCAAAAGTGGCGTGTACTAAAATCGTGTACAAAGTCTATGGGATTTTGCATGGAACAAAAAGAAGAAACTAGGAAGAGGAAAAAAAAAAACCCAAACGGGGCTCACCCAAACGTATTTCTTTCCCCCCCCCCCCCAATATTTGTACAAAGTTCCCTTTTTTCTGAACAAGTGCCATTTTAAAAATAAAAATAGTGCCTTTTTTGTGCCATCGAACGTTTTTGGTACCCTTTTAAAAAAAACTTTTGCATATGTATTGACCTGAAAAGCGCCATATATTGTCTGTAGTATGCATAATCATCAGATTTGAACAGCTCCCCGATCAACAGATGGTACCAGGCCCCCCCCCCCCCACCCATCAAAATGACTTTGCTACTAGTACGCCACTGACTGGGGCCTTTTCTATTTAAAACAAAATGTATTAATTAATATGAGATTTGTGACCAAGGGTACTATACTGAGTACTGATTTATAACAGAAATGCTCATGAATGAGGCCTTGCACAATGGCACTTTCTCCTTGTTTACAGTCAAAGTGAAGTACTTTATACTGAAACTTCCCTAGCATTCCTCCTGTCAACATCATCTACCTTGAGTCGCCTCACCATGTAAGAAAGCAGGGTGGCATCCTGTTTAACTTTGTCTACAGTCAAGTAAAGCTGATTATGTGCATAGGTTAGATCTTCATTGGAGAGGGAAGTTGCCATACACGTTACGTACATTATGTGCACACAAAATGCTAGCAATTTTTCCATCACCTCTATGACGCGATTTTTTTTTGCAAGGGAGCGCACAGAATTGCGTGAATTGTTCCTCTTTTATTGCCCAATTGACGAAAGCACCACTGCCTCATCCAAATCATCAAAGTCCTCCATTATTATAGCTGAATTTTTGATGAAATATGCGGATATTTTAGCGCGAAGCGAGAGCGAACATGTGTGCCGCCATCATGAATCACCTGACTAATTTATGGTGCGCTGATTGGCTGAATGGAGTCGTCGGCTTTTGCGAAAAAAGTAGACTTGCGCATGTCGGTTTCTGAAACCAAACATGGAATTGCAAAGCAATTTACGTAGGACGTGTCGGGATTTGCAACGAAACAGATTTGATGATCAGATAGAGGTTGCCACTGACTCTATAATGGTAGTCATGGTTTGTTTTCGGAACGAATGGTGTTTGTCGGTTTTTGCGCATGAACTCTTCACATGTACTCCTTCAACTTTTCGTAATAATTTGTATCATTTGCAATAATATGTCTAGCCTTCAACAGTCGCTATTAATTTCTGCAAAACACTTACCGATTGCCAATAGAAGACGACACACCATTTCACTTCGTTTGCGTGATGTCCACCATCTTGACGCAAGTGTTACCGACGACCAATTTCAAAGAGAATACTACTGTCCATGAAACAGCCGTATAAATTTCGCTTTACCAAAAGGTCATCCTCGTTCAAAAAATATATCTTTTCTTATTCAAAAATAGAACACATTGCGCTTACGATGTGTTTCGTGAAATCAGCCCCTGGTCAAGGTTCAGCTGAGCAATGGATACTGCACTTTTTGAGAAAAAAGTGAAACAACATGCACAAACAAAACTCTTCATTTCCAACTGAATGCAAATTGATCCTATGCCTTTAAGTTTCAAATGAATAATGAATTTGAGGCATTACATCCATAAAGAATCTTCAAAACTACTTGGTACCCCCTTGCGAATAGTAGAGGAACATTAATCAGATTAAACCCAATCATTCATGATCAGCTTGGTCCCAACGAAGCATTAAAGTTGCAGTTACCATGCTATTTTCGAGTAGTCCAGGCACATATGTATACATGTTCTGTACCGTGTGTTTTATGATTGATTATTCCTTTGCTTAGATTTTAGCAGAGAGTCAGAGAAAGCAGCTTGTGAAACTGATTGGCCAGATGTGGATGCTTTGGATCCATATTCTAAAAGTAAGATGCTTGCAGAAAGAGCAGCTTGGAGTTATCTGGAGGAGTTGAAAACAAAAGGCAAGTACAGAATTTATTTCTTCAATCTCTAATGGGCATCCATTCAATAGCACTTTGATGTACAAACAGGTTTTTCTGCAGTTAAGTTACCGCAACATGTAACATAGAGGTAAACATATCCTTTCTTAGGCCCCCCCCCCCAAAAAGTCTCCGGCTTCTGGTATGGAGCTTGCCCCAAAAGTGGTGTGGCGACGCATTTTTTTTGTCGCTCTTTTTTTTTCTTCTCCAAATGTCGGCTGATGTTGCAGATGACACTTCGATCCCCTTAAAACTTAAAACAAAATATCCTTTGGAGTGGAGCTTGAGGTGACCTCAGTAAGGCCATCAGGCTTGAGAATTCTGCTCCCACTTACGATCTCGACCGACATAAATATTCTTCGGGAAATTTGGATAGTCAAGACAAAAATCAGAGAAAACGGTAGTAACGTTAGACCATACAGTGACATTGACATCGTGCATGAGCTGCTAGGCTGGTCATTAGCCTGCCTTCTTACATATTACGCTAGTGAAAGGCGTTTACAGGTTCCAGATACTCGACCATCGCTCCCTCAGTCAGGCTTCCAGGCGCACAATTGTAAAATTACAACACCATCTGCAAATGGGGCCTGACCAAATTCAGTGCAAAATATATGGGAACCAAGAGAGGCCACATAAAGCTTATACTCAATTGTAACCCCATCTAAAAACACGTTAAAATTGTGCAGCAGCAGGATTCCAGTCAAACCAGTGAGTTTGGCGGTTTTGAGACATCATCTTATGTTGAATTTTGAGACATCATCTTATGTTGAATTTTTTTTTTTATATATTTTCTAACGCGCCTGGCTACGGCGACGCGCGCACATACCAGAAGCCGGAGAATTTTAATTTTTTTTTTGGCCTTACTTATATTCATAGTTTTATTGTGTTCGTGCCAATGCTTAACCCTAACTCCCTAGGGGGTGTGCAAAATCATATTAAAATTGGAGGATTCAGGACTGTTAGGTTTAAAAGTGGAGATTCTATACTGCCCTCTGGTGGATATGGAATTCCATGGGATACGAGTGCGCATGCACAAAACCAGTAAGGAACGCACTGACACCAACCAGACGTCAAGTGAACAAAAACGGGCAAAGAAGTGCCAGAAATTTACTACTTTTTTTGTTATAAAACTGAAAAATTACAATCACCAGTTGTAATGGGTGATATAGACAAAAGTGCAGCGGCGCACAGAAACAAGAAACGACAAAAACGGCACAAGACACTGTCGTTGCTAGGCCGAGCATGGGAATTGTGGACCCCCACAGAATAGACGTTTTTAGTTCTATCATGATGAAAGAAATCTCCACATTGAGAGTGAAAATTTTCAGTTAAACAGTCCGAACTAATTCCCGAAATATTGTGAAAAAAAGCTGCTTTTATGTCATTAACTTTTTCGCATTATTTTATCGCACAACTTTCTAACCTCAGCTTCTATATATGCGACAGTTTTGTATCATGATGCCGTATCTTGGCATTTCAGAATCACAATTATCAATGCAATGTTGAATCATTACACCCCTTTCTTTGTCCAAAGTTGATCCCTGTGTAACATCTCTATGGTTACAGTGGATCCTGATTCTGCCCATACCGGGCCCCTGCCTAATTGGACTATGTACAACATATGTTGCTGACAACTCCAATCAACAAAAAGTGTGTGTTAAACCCATCCACAATGTTGCTGAAAGATTTAAAAACCAATCAGTTCAGCCATTCTGTAATAAAATTGAGATTTTGTGGACACAGGTTAACATGTTGTCCCTTTACATTGTGGCCAGTTTGACATGAGTAGAAACAATAAGCTGAGGTAGGGAGTAATAAGTACTAACCTGTTGAATCAGTAAATGTGATATCAGATGTATTTAACAAGGGGTAAAGCTACAAAAATCAGACGAGCCCAATTTTATGCCACACCGTGACCTAAGAATGGCCCAGCTATATCTGATCTGGATAAAACTTGCATATCTATGAAAGGATTTATATAACTCCTTTACAAAAATCGTTACATGATAATTTTTTCCCCTCAAACTGTGTTAACTGTAATTTTCAAACACACCATATATGTACATCTAGTTTTGATACTTGGCACTGGTGGTTTTTCAAAAATAGAAATAAAAAGTTTGAAGGGACAAACACATGGTGTTGGGCTAGAGGTTTGTCTTTTTCGCATTGTTGATTGTTGATTGTTGTTGTTGATTGTTGATTGTTGATGTTAATTGTTGGTTGTTTATGTTGATGTTGATTGTTGATTGTTGATTGTTGATTGAATTTTACGGTGGTTGTTTATGTTGATGTCGATTGTTGTTGATTAACGATTATTGGTGTTGATTGTTGATGATTGTTGATGTTGATTGTTGATGTTGATTGTTGATGTTGGTTATTGATGTTGAGTGTCATGATTGTTGATGTTAATCGTTGATGTTGATTGTTGATTGTTGATTGTTGATGTTGATGTTGATTGTTGAAAGTTGATTGTTGATGTTGATTAATGAATATTGATGTTGATTGTTGATGATTGTTGATGTTGATTGTTGATTGTTAATGTTGATTGTCGATGTTGATTGTTGATGTCAATGTTGAGGGTTGAGGGCTGAAAAATACCGCATGTAGTAATTATACAGAGAATGGTTAAAAAGAGTCAGGTGAGGATCTGCACGTGCGTATGCTGCTGTACTGTAAACTTGTTAAGTACATGTACAATCTTTACAAAAACGCATGAAATAGCTCATATCTCTAAAAGTAAAGGTCGCACACCATTGGCTCAATACAAAATATTGCTCGCCATACCCTCTTTAACCCAATGTGCATGTTTTTAAGAAAAGAAGCGCCCAATTAAAAAAAAAGCGCCAGCCCAATTTTTGAGAATCATATGATGTCATCAGAAGTCAAAAATGTGCTTGCGTTAAGAAATTGTCATATAAACGTGTACAAAACACTGGTAAACACTTAAAATACATTGGTCCATCAAGCAGCCGTTACATGTAGCTCAATAGTTAACATACAACAGTCGTAAAACCAGACACTCACGAAGCGAGCACGGGGATTTCCCTTTTGTACGCAATCATTGCACACTGTTTTTCGGGAATTTCCCTTTTGTACGCAATTTGCTGTACACACAATGTACGTGGCATTAAATGAGTGTTTCAAGGCATAAGCGTGTTCAACTTCAAATTTCAAGGGGTCTTTTCATTGTAACTTCCGGTCTCATGACGTAATCAATTTTTTTTCGCGCACAGGTCTTGTCTGCATTAAGGTCATCATTTCTTTTAATTTTGAAGCGATTACCGCAAATGTCGCCACAGACATCAACTGAAAATGTGTTTTGGAATTTTTTTTACCTGCCGCTAGAGGGTGCTCAAACTCTTCATGGTGTCACCGATCAAAGGTCACCCCACCCACAGACTAACATCGTTGAAAGCAACTTCATATCTTTTTCCACTTTCAAATTATTAGGCACTTTCAGTTTCGACCGACGAAGGGTCACATGATTTTGCACGCACAAGATAAATTGATGATCATGTATTATCATGTTGATTCCCGCAAAATTCAAATAGCGGTCTCGGACGGTTGATTTTATATTGAATTTCAAAGATTGAATTTATTATTTTTTGAAGTGACATCACGTGACCCATGATGACGTCATGATGACGTAATTGCAAAAAAAAGACATCTTCAGTAGGTTGTACATTCATGTATTGACAGTTGAAGTTCATATTAGGCTTGAGCGGTTCCACTCTTCCTGGAGCCAGTTCCGGTTCCCAAAAAAGAGCCGGTTCTGAGTCGGAATCAGCTCCCGGAAAGTTCAATGAAAAACATAAGCTCTGGAAATTACATGTAAAGAATAACTATGTCACCGTGTGAGGCCGTACTCCGTGGATTTCGACGTGCAATACACTGTACATGTTATTCTACTACGTATTTGTTTTCAAACAGTGTCTTTTTCCTGTGAAACTGCTAGATTTATTACTTTATTCTCAGTTCCTTTCCTATGATTTTATTTACCGTGATCACACTGTCATGCCGCCAAGAATAAATGATTCACTGCACGTGCACAGCACAAGTACACGAACACGCTACGTATACACTGGTATCTTGCTTTTAACAAACACGTGGAACCGGTCGAGTGCTGGAATTGGCTCCGATGGACCGGGCCCCATGTACAAATTTACTCCGGCTGATTCGAATGAGTAAAGGCGGTCCGGATCTCTATTATCTTGCAGGTATAGCAGCCTATTTTTCACCATGTGCGCCGATATCAAAAAGAAGTTTTAGAAATGAAGCATATAGGAATAATTTATTTTCATGCAACGGTAGATTCGAGACTCGTTTGGAGCTGGGGATTTTTTTACATGTACCCTGGCCCACTGCTCGTGAAATCCGAATCTCAAAACTCTGAGTGCTGTTCCCAGTACACGGGGGTCTGTACTCCGTGGGTAGAGCCGATTCTGGCAGCACTCATCGGAGCCGGGGCCGTCAGAGCCGATTCCAGCACTCAGAGCCTGTGTGATAAAAACATTGACTCATGTGAACAACGGACTCCTTTTTCGTGATCGTTCATTTTATTATCTACATGTATGCAGGAGCATGCGCAACATATTTTATAAACCTAAATTCATGCTACACCGATTGTCCAAACAGACTAGGATTGGGTTCAATGCAATGCACTGCGTGCATGCATGCAAGCCAAGTGGCCGAACTGCAAACATCGTATCTCCGATCTTTGCGATGTATTTGGAGTCTGTGGTTTTTCCTCGCCGTTGTTTTGACTAGCAAGATTAAATGATGTCCTGGTGTTGAATTCCTACACATGTGGCTGATTCTCGGCTCAGGGTTTTGTGCACAGAGAATGGGTAATTTAATCTGGAACCAATTCTTTTGGAGCTGGAACTGAGGATAGCGGGTACCCGGTTTTCAAAAAAAATTGGACTCGCGGTTCCGGTTCTAGAACCGGGGAACCGATGGAACCTCGCAATGCTAGTTCATATATGTTTTCAGTTTGACAAACAGTTCTGGAGAAGAATTTGCTGAGGAGAACCATAATAATAACAACAATAGAAAAATCATACAATAACAATAGGTGTTGGGCTGAGGCCCAACACCTAATAAAAATACCATTTTCCTTGAATTGCTTCTAGAGAGCACCTTTTTAAGTGACAGAATTAATCCTTGCAGTATTTTCGGCGTAAACTTTGTAATCTTAAAAGGCCAAACTGCTTATCAAATGAGGGCACTGTAACAACACCATTTCTGGGTAAAACACCAAAAAATCCATTCCATTAAATTTTTCTTCAATCTGAAAATCAAAGATTGTGGTAACATAGATTTTTAATTGTAGCCTTGGACACGAGTCTTGTATATCCTCAAAATGGGATTGTTAGATTGCCATCATTGGTTCAGGAATACAACCCAATATTTGATCATCATAAAATAAATTTCCCCCCCCCCCCCATGTTACATTATTGTTACACATTGGTAACCGGCCCTCAAGCATTCCTTGGTTCATTCTACAATGCATATGTACATGTAACACATTTTGTCACTGTATCCTAAACATGATGTCTACAAAGATAAACTGTATGCAAAGCGGTACGTGTACATGTAGCACAACCATGGAAAAGTGATACTAAAAAGAAGTGATCAGACAAATCTTGTACCATATAGAATATTTACATGTTCCAATTCTGTTTTCATCATTTGCAAGACTACAGGGTACATGTACATACTGTACAAGACTTAATTTCGTCATGTCAGTGCAACAAGGTCGTAACTCAATTCTGCGACAAAATCATATATCGGGCGTATATGCTCCGTGCAACAACGTCATATCATGATGTCCATCAACTTTGTGTGTGTATCTGGGTTATTTTAAGCAAGATACGACCTTTTGTCATTCTAAAACTCGTGTTTCACTTAAAAACTATTTTAGGAGATACGACTTTGTTGCACGGACACGATGATTTGTATCTGCTTACATGTACATCATTTATATTTTGAATAACCTTCTCAGTGCTAGTGTGAAAGGGCTTTTGATGATAGTATGTTTGTATTTTGCAGGTAGTCCAACATTTGAGCTGGCCGTCATTAATCCAGGATATGTTATGGGTCCAATTCTCTCTGGGAGTAGCTGTACCAGTATGGAAGTGATGAAAAGACTCATGTGCAGGGATCCACCTCTAATTCCAAAAATGAACTTCAGTGTTGTAGATGTACGTGATGTAGCTGCATGTCACATCATTGCCATGACACATCCGGAGGCATCAGGTACATTTTAGATCACAAGTTGATCCAAACGTAAAGCATGAGTGATTGTTCCTAATGTTACATGTATGAAACACAGGGCATTTTCACCTTTCTTGAATAGGCAAATGGGAAGTCACCCAAGTAGAGGTTGAGAATGCAGCCATATGTATCACTCTTAACAGATAATCAGGTACTTGTGTGAGAAGAGTTTAGAGTGACAAGCTTTTACTGGTCCTGGGGGGATAGCCTAGTGTCCTCTTAATCTAACTGAATATTGTAGCGGGAAGCTATTGGGCTCTTGTCCTCCAAGTCCAGCAAAATGAAAGAAAAGGGGGCACACACAGGATTTCTAACTCGAAAGGAAGCTCTTATTTATTTTGCCAAACGGACTCTGCGGTCAACTCGCCGCACCGCCATCAGAGCTGCAACTGATGGCGGTGTTCCCAGCATAGAAAAGCACAGCCACACAAAATGCATTACATTGTAACAACTTCGAGTAGCCAAACCTTTCAGTGACCTATTTATGGAAAGTAATCTCCAGGGTGTGCACAGACAAAAGAACTAGGTCAGCACACCTGTGACCCAACGCGCCAACAATGCACCGCCGGGGGCCCTCCAGCAGCGGCTAGTGAACAAAAGTAACAATAAAACGATATATAAGCTGTCCGTTACACCGCTCCGTCCCAAAAATTTGCCTATTCTCCTGAATAGGAGGCACATTTACAACAAAAATACAGGGATTTACAATGAAATATACAAATTTCCAAATCTTGTCAAAGGGTTTTCGTTTCCCAAAAAATGTTTTGTTGATGAATGATCTGAACCATGGGCGTCGCCAGGATTTTTCCAGGGGGGGGGGCAAAGCAAATTTTTCCTTATCATCTCTATCATTTTTTTCTGAGCGTGAACAGGGGAACATTTTCCCTACCCCCCCCATCAAATTAACAGTAATATGGCTTCGCACCTCTTTTTCCTTTTTTTTTTTCTCTTTTTTTCCCCGTTACCCCCCCCCCCCTTGCGAGGCCCATGATCTGAACTTGAAAATCTTTTTACAGAACATGCTTTTTTTCTTTCTTTTTCTAAACACAATTGGGTTGATCTGGTCCCCAAAGTGGTCCAGCAATCCATGATGACTACCACAGCAACAGGAGAATATTATAAGAAACAACATGAGAAATCAAATACTTTGCTTTGTTAATCAATTGGTGTCCTCAATGGAAGTCCATCAGTGTTGATTCTAGTCCCCAGACTGGTTACATAGAATCAAACAATGATACAGCAAACTGTGACGACTACACTACAACAATTTCAACACATTCTTTTACAGTTGTTTCTTCAGTTCACTCAGAAACTGTCCTTTCTTCACTATCTGTCTTCACCAAGAGAGACCTTCTCTCCAGTCTCTGCCCTTGTTGCACTTCACCAGCTTCAGTGTCTCCCGCCGAGTACATAGGTCATGTCGCTGTACTCCTGGCACTTTTTCGTTAATTCCCAACCTTGCTTAGATCCCGATGTCTGTCCATGCGGTATTTCTGTCCATGCGTGCTCTACTCCATTTACTAGTGTCCTCTTTGGTGGCCTTGTCTTCTGTGGTACACCCTGCACTTGGGGATCCCCTGTCTTCCATGGCCTTGTCTTCTGTGGTACACCCTGCAACGGTGGATTCCCAGCCTTTGATGCGCCATGCACCAATGGGTATCCTGTTTTCTGTGGTACTCCCTGTACTCCTGGCCTTGTCTTCTGTGATGTGTACTGCATCGCAGAATCCGCAGTCTGGTTGGCCTACTGTTCTTGTCCCTTGTTCATGTCGCCTAGTGCCACGCCATCACCTGAACGTGCAGGTCAGTGTCTTGTGGTCAATTGCCCAAGGTCAGAGTTGCTGTCCTAGCAGTACGGCGGTCGATGAGTTCAGCGTACTCCGGCTGATTGGAATGCACCATTGGAGCCGTCCACAACAGTGGAGCAGTGTGCATTGATGGAGATGTTCGCAACGATGGAGCTATCGATGTGCAGCTGGTATTCTCAGCAGCAGTTGGATCAGGACTGGAAAACCCAGTGCATCAGCAAACCTTGATCCGATGGACAGCCACCATGTTCGGTAGTATCACAGGATGGGGCTCCATGTCATCGGCAGGGCTATCACCGCTTACAGCGGTTTCTCTGCCCTTGGTCTCCACATCCACGCAACAACCACGCCTAACATCAATGTCTGCTCCCGGACCTCTGAACGGCCTTGCTTGGCATTTATTCCCACTCTGATCCACACTAGCAGAATCATCGGAATGGTACATCACTTCCAATTTGGTGATCATTTTATTGATCTTTTGTAACACACCAACCAGTGATCCAGTGGCCATTGGATTACTTCCATGTCTGTCCAAGGAATAGGCTGATCCAGAAATCTGTCTTTCACCGTCCTCCCGAAAATTGGCGTCCACGATTTCATCTGCGGTGGTGCACTTCATCATTTTCAGTCATGTTGCAAATGCATTGAGTCAAATTATCCCGTCAATATCCCACTGCTGCCACCATTTGTTGCGGGAACCCATTGGGCTCCTGTCCTCCAAGTTGAGCAAAACGCAAGAAAATGGGACACACACAAGATTTCTAACTCAAAAGGAAGCTCTTATTTATTTCAGCAAATGGACTCTGCGGTCAACTCGCTGCACCGCCATCAAAAATGCAACTGCTGATTCCCAGCATAGAAAAGCACAGCTACACAAAATGTATTAGATTTTAACAACTTGGAGTAGCCAAACCTTTAAGTGACCTATTTATAGAAAGTATATCTTTGGAGCGCGCACTTAGCCAGACAAAAGTACTAGGTCAGTGCACCTGTGACCCAATGCCCCAATAATGCGCTGCAGCTCTCCGGCGGCGGCTGATGAACAAAAGCAATAATAAAGTGATATACAAACTGTCCGTTACAATACGTATTTGTCTGTCTGTCGGGCCTTTGGGCTGTCTGTCTGTCTGTCACATGTGACTTAGACGAGACACCAAAAATACATTGACTGTTTGCATCCATGCGCATGGGTTCCTTCACATTCTGAACGCCTCCCTGTTCCTTTGCGTGCTGTACAGTATTTTGCACATGTTCCTCATACTGTTCTCGGACATGCTTTACCGAGAGGGTATTGCTATGCTAATCCACCTTTTCTTTGCATGCGAGAATGGGAACATCACAACAAAAAGAAGCGAAGAAGTAACGTATGCTTGGGAAAAAAAAAACCAATGGGAATTAGATCCTATTTGGTAATTGAAACCAGACATCGGAACCAGCATTAAATAAATAGACTTTCTGTTTTTTTAGGATTCAAACAGCACGAAAATACCCGAAATATTTTTACTCAACAGAAGCGATGAAATTACCTCAGTGTCAAGTGTGTATATGTATAATGTACAGCTCTTAATTTAGCATGTCAATGTTTTTCCGTCTGTGTTATTTTATACCGGTACATCTATTGGTGAGCTTTTTGTGGTGTTTAAATATCATTTATCAAAGACGTGACCAAATAACTGAAGTAACGTGTTCGCACCACCCAGTTTGCCAACGACAAAGCTAATGAATGTTTGGATTCCTTTATCTCATAATTCTACCCAATCATTTGGCAACATCAAGCAATAGGTACCGACCTTTCATTTAACATGCAGACAAGCCCCAATCCCGAAAGTCTGCTGCACTCCTCCCTCGTAAAAGCGTCCAATCATGTAGTACCTTGTCAGGAATCCTCTGTTATAATTGGTTGTTAAATAATATCCCATTTAAAGGAAGTCTCACTAGCCGCAGACTAAATATTGCTCATTCAAAGAATTTCCACCTGGGGTCTGTTATAAGAGATACATTGTATTACTTGCGTCGATAGGCCATCAATCGATGTCTCAACACCGGCAAGTTTATTCCCCGGATGGATTAATTTGTTTCTTATATCGAAAACCTACCTTTATGTTAAATATACCCCTTTTTTTATATTAAAACAAAACACTTAAATCAAAAATATAAATACTTAAACATTTCACTTGTATTCTGGAGGTATATTGAATAAAAGGTACATTTTTATAAGGATTTCTGAATTTTAAAAGAAAGTAGAAGACTCACCAGCCAGTGTTTATTAAACAGCGTATTTCTTTGAGAAGTAATTTTAATGATCATATCAGAGAAAATACGTTTAACTTTAGCCTATCCCGGTATTCTCAAAACATTTGTTTGAATTCCAGTATCTGAATTGCCTGAAGTAGTTATTCAAAATAGCATTTTGTTGGCCTTTCATTTTGTGATAAATGGGAAAAAACATTTGAATAAATTTGTCACAATTTTTTTATTTCAACTCTAATCACCGCATGCCATCCAACAAACATTGTAAGGTACAATGATCACTGGTACAGTGATCACTGTAGCCCCTCGCCCTTCCCCGAACACGGGGCAGCCCGAGGGGACCAGCCACCACGCTTCAGTGGGCTCCAGTCACCCATGCCCTCCCGACACAGTGCGAGTTCCACTGGTTGCCGGGACGGGCTATTGCACGGGCTATCGGACCTGCTGTGCTCGCTCAGCCCACGAGGCCTGAGACACTGTCGGCCGGGTATGATATGAGCTACGCTATACCCCAGCACTTCCCCGAGCATGGGACAACACAAGGGGAATAGCCGCCAAGCTTCAGTGGGCTCTAGTCACCCGTGCCCTCCCGACACAGTGCCAAGTACCACTGGATGCCGGGACAGGCTATTTCATGGGAACGACCAGCGCTCGCTCAGCCCACGGGGCTTGAGGCGTTGGTCGGGTATGCTATGAGCAACGCGGAGCCTGTCACCTGGGGATACCCCGGCCCAACAGGCCACCGTTGTATCTTGCTCTGAGGGACCATTCTCGTCATCGGATTTTATCCGTTGTTTTGGGCGTCCTGGTGCCCCAGGTGTCTTCCGGCGTTTCCTCTGACACACCCTGGGGCCGTTCTTCAAAGAAGTAGAAGAAGGCTGATCGCTAATACCACGCCGTTCTTCTTCAGATGCTGGCGGCTCTT